CGTGCAGTGAGTCACCCGCTGACGCGCAGGAGTGAACTGGTCAACCCCCCCATCCTGGAGGTCAGCTCCACTCACCAGGTTCGTAGAGAACGAGGGGAGGTAGAGACCTGACAGCAAGCCAGACGGGGCGGCCGGACACGGCAGAACCGTGGAGTAGTGGGCAAGGACTAGACCCCCAGAGGGGTCGGCCAGGGAGACTGCAACCGGCCGACGAAGCGGCGTAAGTGTGGTGCAGTCGCGAAAGAAGGAGCGGGAAGCTCCTGAGTCAAGGGTGAAGGTGTGCAGGGTCGCAGCAGGCGAAGAACCTGAGAGGGCAGACTCACCAGGACCTGGAGCAGCAGCCTCACCAGCACCTAGAGCTGGAGACGCAGTAGCACCTAGAGCAGCAGCCTCACTAGCACCTAGAGCAGGAGACGCAGTAGCACCTAGAGCAGCAGCCTCACCAGTACCTAGAGCAGCAGGCGCGATACCTGGGTCAGGCGGCGCACACAGGTAACAGGCACGGTCAGCACTAGTAGGCAATGCATACATGGCAGTGAGAATAGCATCATAGTCAAGAGCAAATATATCTACTCTCTGCCTAAGTAGCTCCACCCAGTCGGGGAGCTCAGCCCCGTCGCCAAACTCGGTGCGCCAGGCGTCGCTCAGACGGGCGAAGCAGCGGGACTGCGTGTGACTAGGTGTCCCGCAAGGCTGACCAGTCCGAGCACCAGTGCGAATGACGTAAGAGCAGCGAACAGAACTGAGAGACCCTCTACTCTGAGCGTACCACTCACGAAGCTGCTGGGGCGTGCGAGACTCGCGTGGACGACAGTGTAGCTGCATCTGGCCACCGCCAGTAGCAGCAGCAGCAGCAGTGGCAGCAGTAGCAGCGCGGCCACCCCTACAACCCCAACTAGCGGACCACTCACGCAGCTGCTGGGGCGTGAGGGACTCACGCGGACGTCGCTGGGGCTGCATCTGGCGTCGGCCAGTAGCAGCAGGTCAGGCAGGCAGGCAGGCCGGCGGCGCGGCAGCGCGCTAGCAAGGCAGGGGCTCACCAGTAGCAGGAAGAGCAGGCTCTCACCGGGCGAGCAGGGCCGGTGCTCGGCGGACGGCGGCAGGGTCAGCGTACGACGGCGGCGACAGCAGGGCCGTGGCAGCGGCTACAGTGAAGGGCCGGATCGAGTCAGCGGCAGGGCAGGGACGGGTCATGGCAGCGGCAGGGCAGGGCCGGGTCGTGGCAGCGGCAGGGTGGGGCCGTGGCGGCGGTAGGGTGGCGCGAGCCGCTGCCGGGGGCCGTGCACTGGCGGGTAGGGCGCGGCGCGGGCCGCGCGGACGGCGCGCAGCGCGCTGCGGGCCGCGGACGCGCCGCGCGGACCTGGGGCGAGCTGCGCGGGGCAGCGGCGGGCCGCGCGCGCGTCGCGCGGGCTCGGGACGGGCTGCGCGGGGCAGCTGCGGGCCGCGCGCGCGTCGCGCGGGCTCGGGACGGGCTGCGCGGCAGGCAGCGCGACGGCGGGCAGCGCGGCAGGCAGTGCGACGGGCGGGCAGCGCGGCGGGCAGCGCGGCGGGCGGGCAGCGCGGCGTGCAGCGCGACGGGCGGGCAGCGCGGCGAGTGGGCAGCGCAGCGGGCGGGCAGCGCGGCGTGCAGCGCGACGGGCGGGCAGCGCGGCGAGCGGGCAGCGCAGCGGGCTGCGCGACTGGCGGGCGACGCGGCAGGCAGCGCGACGGTGGGCAGCGCGGCGGGCAGCGCGGCGGGCAGCGCGACGGGCGGGCAGCACGGGAGCACGGGGGCGCTAACGAGGGGCGCACGAGGGCGCTAACTGGGGCGCGTGAAGGCGCTAACGAGGGGCGCGCGAGGGCGCAGCGAGGGCGCGCGAGGGCGCTAACGAGGGCGCACGAGGGCGCAGCTAGGCTAGGGCACGGGGTAGCGTGGTAACCGCATGCGAGCGGTGGTGGGCCCTAAAAAACGGTCGGTAGGTCCTAGGGACCTCCTGCTCTGAATACCATGTCAACAAGACTAGGCAAGAATGGTGCATTGAATGAAACAGTTGGGTACAAGTAGCAAACCCTAGTTGGGGTTGTACCCCATATTGGCTACCCCACTACAGCCTACCAACATGTAACACATTACAATTTAACATTGAGGCACACTGATTTACCAATACCAAGGTAGGTATCAGTGTGCACCTCCGAGAATCCTCGTGTCCCATTGTGTTGGATCTAGGTTTTAAGCTGTTTTCTTATGGTTGTTTTTGGGATACTCATGAATCTCATTGCTAAAATCGTGAGCACATCCATGCCAAGCATTATCTACCGTTACAACAAGGGGCGGGGAAACTGAGAGGGGGAGGTGGGAGGAGGGGAGGGGAGGGGAAGGGGTACCGTCATACCCCGGATAGAAGCGCAGGCCTCGGATAAGCGCCGGCGCTTATAAAGGGATGAGGGCGCTTATATCCGGTCCTCGATTATAAGCGCACCCCCTAAAAATTTATGATTTATTATAAGCGCATGTCGAATATTATCTGAAAATCAGTCGAAACACATAAACGAATTTCACCTTACCAGGGAAGCGAAGTACAGCTCCACTTTCCTACTCAAATCACACTTGCTGCGCGTCTAGTCAGCACGCGCTGTCGCTTAGTCAGCATGTGTTGGCAGGGAATCAATCCCTGCCAAGTTGCTCGAGAGTCAAATTCGCGACCCCATATATTTTCGACTCGATTACAATTGGCAGAACGAGATCTACAGTTTGGTGTTACAAAAAAACTTAATTTCATTTTGCCGTTATATAAACGCCGGCGCTTATAAATTTCCTCAATTATATGCGCACCCCCTAAAAACAGTATTTTTTTACAACCCCAGGGGCGCTTCTATCCGGGGTATGACGGTAGGTAGGTGTGGGCATAGATAGATCATGGTCCAATGTCGTAATACGGTATGTTCTTGAGCTGAATTTAAAGACGGAAATATACGGTACCGTACTTCAAGCCCTCAATGAAAATGCAAGGCGAGCAAGACCACTGCTACTTGCTACGGGGATTTATGCGATGCTGAGATACATGGACTCACAGCAGAACTATTTCACTGGATACGAAGGAAGTATTGTGGTAATAGTTTTCTACTAAAAACCCGCGATCATCACATCAGAAGCTGCTTGAGCAAGAAGCAGATTTGCGTCACCCGCAATGACAGGCTCCTCGAAGATGGCAATCATAATATTAGAAGTGGTTTTATGGATGCAGCAACCACCAGCTTTCCGGATCTGCGGGAATAGCAACCATGCAAGTGTAATATTAATACATTAAAATTGAGTTAATAACCGGTAATGGGACGGTAAGTAGAACGGATGTCTTGGGCTTGGTTGGGGTACAACGGTAATAAAGAACGCCATTCTAGAGCTGATCCGTTGTCGACAGTACGTCCCGATCTGCTCCGAGGTTAAGACATCCCCCATGGAGGCTGCGGCTGGAACCTAATTGGGCTGGCGCGTTGAGAAAGGAATTCCCAGCCAGCCAGTTCTAGCAGCAATGGTAGCACTCCTGTGATCAACTGCAACAAATGAACTAGGGGGCAATTTCATCTTTTCAAGTTTAAGCGTCAGCCGAGACCTCAGATGCAGGACAGCGGACCGCGCTTTGCACCTACAGTTGTCCTGGACAAGTGATGACAGTGGTCGATCAACTGCGAAGGTAACTACAGTACAATCTGGAAGCTCGCCAGCTGTTACCGACCCGTATGGTCACCATCTGCGAATTGTTCTTTTCGTGTATCAGAACGGTCCACCAATGAAATGTATCGCCAACACGACGTTCAAAACGACATTCGACGGCGGCGGCGCGGGGTCAGCGTGGGCGCAACTATTATATTTGAAATTCAAAGTACCCGGCTGAAGGAAGGTACGGGGCGGTAAGGGATTTAGGGTGAAAGTTCAGTTTAGCTAGTCCCCAGAACTAGGACCGTCTTCCATTATGATTCCTGACAAAGGTTGGGGACCATTGGGACGGCGAATTCCTTAAGGAGTGACCCCTGATCTGCCAGTATTTGCGGGGTTATCAGCGAGAAATATACTGCGAAAGTATTCCTCTCCCAACCATTCTGGGGGGCGGAAGGGTTCACAGAACGGGCGCAATCGCAACGCTCAGTTGCTTCGGTGAAAGTCAAGAAGCCATAGTCATGTGGGGTGAGGGGTTGGGTCTACATACAGACGAAATTGTAAGGGAAATGATCAGATTGGGGCCCCAAAGCTCTAGAAATAGAGCCGACTTGGAGCCTCGTGTGTCGCGATGTGTCGAACCTGGTCCGGACCTGTCACTAACCAGCTGCGGGCCTTACCCACGCGCTCCGTCAGACCTTACCACACAAGGTGACGGATTTCTGAACGGGCAAGCTGGCAAAAAAAATAAACCCCAGACGGGCATGCATCCGGTCAGGGAGGCATCAACCCTAAACACCTTGTCGCATGTGTTTAGGGTTGATGCCTCCTCAATTTTACGCCATACGTTTGAGTATTTTTATTTTTACCACTGCGATAACATTTTTGGGCTAAAATGTTTATTTCTAGGTTATTTTGCTGAAGTATCCGTACTGCCCATTGTGAATGGGCTGACGATCGTTGCTCCCGTCAACCAGGGTGCTAGCGAAATCCGTCAAACCCAAGCCAGCAGGTGGTGACCTGGCGAGCTCGGCCTAGCTGCCTAGGCTTGTGGCTTGCTTCGGGCCTTCATCGTAGGCTCGCGAATCACGAAGTCCCAAGTTGGCCATCTTTCTGCTAATCCGAGGCCCCAATATGATCAATCCCCAAATTGTAATGTCAAGAAGGGACAGCAGCATGGTACGTATGCGGGCAACGTTTCCACGTGGCAAGGAGTGGATGGTGCTTGTATCCACGGCCAGCTTTCAAGATCATCTTGAACAAACACTGATGGTGTGCTATATCAAGACATAGAAATAACATTTAAGGTTTATGTAAAATTATTGCATTCTGGAATGTCAGCTTGTTGTACCTAAAACAATATGCATCATTCCCCATAGTCAATGGTTCCTCCATCCTCGCCATAATCATCGCCTGCGTCACCAGTGCTCTCATCCCCACTATAGTCACCTCCACTGGAATTACCCCCATCACCATCTCCCCCACTCTCATCTGAACCACCACCTTCAGAACTGCCATCTCCGCTACTGTCCTCCTCGCTACCATCTCCCTCTGTGTCTCTGCACTTACCCCACTGGCACTTGCGCGAAAAGCACGCCTTGACAGGCCTGGCGGTCATATTAGCTGTGAACAGTTGACAGCTGAGCCCCGAGAAGGTGTACATGAGGCATGAGGAATCCTTTATGCAAGCACCCTCGCACTTCTCCACATTTCCCGTGAAAAAGAGATTGCCGTCCATCACCATCAGCTGCTGCCCTTTGTGTTTCTCGCAAATCATCTTCGGCACAGGACTAGCAGGAGGTGGGCTGGCAGGTTCACTCTCACTCGTGGCTGCTGGCGGCGGTGGCTCCACCTCCTTCCCCTTGTTAGGCTTGGCGGGAGACGAGGGAGGAGTAGGTGTTGCATCCGAGCCTGATTTGCCCGAGCCTGAATCAGCCTTGGCCGATTCCGAGTTCTTATCCTTGGTGGGCTTTGGGCTGCTAGTTGGGCTGCTGGGCGGCTTCGGCGCCTTGCTTGTTTTGGAGGCATCCGAGTTCGAGCCTTTGGGCGCCTTCGCAGAGCTCGGCGCGCTTTTTCCAGGGGAAGACGCAGGCGGCTTCGTTGACTTGGCGGATTTCGATGACCCTTTTCCTTCAATGTCAGAACCGACCTCCTGGCTGTGTTTTGTCGTCTTGCCCTTCTTGGGCGAGCGTGCGGGGGTTGCGGCGGGAGGTGCGGACCCTCCACGCGAGCCGGACTTGCCAGACGTTGGCTTCCTCTTGCTCCCTCCGGTCTTTGCGCCGGCTGAAGCGGAGTCAGCTGGTGCGGCAGCGGCAGTGCGACTCTTCTTCTTCCCCTTTTTAGACTTGCCTCGTCCACGCTTAGACCCTCCTGAGTTACCCGACGCTGGCGAAGTCGTCGCAGCCTTCTTCGCTACTGGCCCATTCGCCGTCTGTGCCGTCGATTTCTTTACACCAGACTGTTTCGGTTCCAGACGTTTCCACTTATGGCCACCCTTCTTCCTCTCACCTGAAGTCCCCGTTGTGCCATCATCGCGAGGCCACTTGTGCCCACCCTTCTTCCTCTCTCCAGCAGACCCCGTTTTGCCAGTTTTGCCCGATGAAACAGCCGCCTTCTTTCCTTTCTTCCCCGCCTTTTTCTTTCCGCTCTGCAGCGAACTGTTCGTCTCACTTGCTTTCACCGCACCCCCCTTTTTCCCCTTTTTCCCCCGCTTCCCCCGCTTCCCCTGTTTCCCCCGCTTCCCCTTCCCAGAAGCGGACGACGAGAGGGCTGTTCCGGCTCCTGCTGACGTGGCGCCCTCTGGCACCGATTTTCCCGACTGCTGCAGTTTCTTGCCGCTGCCCTTCTTGTCGGAGGCTGGCGCGGAGCTTCCGCGGGCGGGGGAGCTTGCGCGGCCGGGGGAGCTTGTGCGGGCGGGGGACTTCGTGGGGGCCGGGGTGGACTTGAGGAGGCGGTAGGGGGAGGAGAGCGCAGGCGACGTTGGAAATAAATCCTCTATGAGCGATGGAGGAGACGAGTGCTGCATCCAGGCGTCCGGGTCGCCTGCGGAAATGCGACGCAGCAGGGAGAACACGGGAGGTTAGGGTCAACGTGAGGATACGACTCGCGAAAACGAAGCTCGTTACACGGGTTAAAGCAGTTATTTACTGCAGTGATCAGGAACCGGAACACACACGTCCTCAGTGCCGTCGAAGTTGTTGTTTAAATGAAAGAGCTTACCGTCCCCGATAGCTAGTAGTTCATGTGAGGAATCCTCATCCGGCTTCACCACTGGTGCCGCGAGAAGGATCAGCAGCGACACGCATGCGATCAGCGCAGCCGGGCCAAACCGGCCCATCCTGGCGCTTGCGGTTCACGTGTTGTCTCAGGCAGAAATTTCAAGAGGCGAGAACGATATCGAGCTCCGGTGAGGCGACCCTACCTGAACCGGAAAATATGAAATACTGGTCAGACGCGACGTGGTTCAATGCAGGGCAAGCGCTAATGTGACTTCGAGTAATGGCTTGAATTGAGGTGACGAGCATATAAATTGGTGCAAGGCTCAAAGGAAGCTGGTTTGAAGTGAGAATTGAACGTTGGAGGCTGGAGCTCGAAATTCGCAACAAGAATTGCCTCATTTGTCAGTCAAACTCGCCCCCAAAATCTCGAGCCGCGATGTTCTTTTCCGAATTCGCGACCTTTCCACCATGCGCGCAGTCGTGGTATCATGCTGAGAGAGAGGGGAAACGTGCGCACGAAAACATACCCATCATTGCTTTCGACTGGTTCCTGCTGAGGTCGGCGATTTCGCATTTCAATCAGACACAAACTTCTACATTCTCCTACTCGACACTTGAAATCTAATGCATCACCTATCAGTAAATATGTTCGCATTTGCTTATACTACCACAGCAATGAGTAATAAAAACGATAACCCTTGCCCAGCTCTGCTACAAGTGGTCGCTTGTCATGGTCAACAACTGGGGGAATCCGAGCGGAACAGGTACGTTGTAGAATCCCAAGTATGCTCGGGCTGGCCGGGTCTTCAACCCAAGCGAATCCAACTTGCAGTTCATGAACCGGGGCCATTGCTTGAATATAGGAGACGTAGGCTTCAACTCCAGGCTTCCAGTTGTAAAATTCACAAACTGCAGACCTGGAACATTGGCAGAAGTGTACCTGATGCTCGAGAACTTGTTCACCTTAGGCACAGAAGGGGTTTTCTCACAGCCCTGAAAGCTCAGAAGGAATTTGCTGCCGTCCAGCAGGGCGAGATCGAGAATGTTTCTGGTCGGGAGGCCGCTGCACTTGCCAGTTTGCTTTGCATTGAGGGACCCGGCGGTGGGGACATTGCAGGGCACCGTGCCGATGCTTGCGTCCTTGCAGATGTTGCTCAGGAAGGGCCAGCGCTGGATTTGATGGTTCGGAAGTGGTGTCAGAGACAAGCGGGGGGAAGACGCAAGTGAGAAGGGGAGAAGGGGCTACATATGCAAGGGCACGAGCGTAACATTGCACAGGATAAGAGGGTGCAAGGATACCAACGGCTGCACAGGGTGTGTGGAGGTTAGTTGAGCATGCTAACGACAAGGAAGATGTTGGTAGTGCTCCAACACATCATGGCAAGTACCTTGTTGATGACAGGCGAGTTGTAGTATTTGATCCGCTTGCTCTCCCACAGCTTGCCCGTGGCCGTGTTGCAGTTGATGCTCGTCACTGTGGGACATGTTGCTGACCCCGGGACGGCAGTGTAATCCTTCACCCACACGTACTGTATCCGGTTCCTGTTATAAACAAATACATACATATTTATATGTATATTTATATATAAAGCATTCAATGGATAAAGAAAAGGGAAACCAACAAGGAGAAACACACATGAGAAAGTCAGTCCAGCTCAACCCTGTTCAGAGCTGATGGAGAAACTGAAAAGAAAACAAGCAAGAGACGTACTCTTTGCCATTCTCGATGTTGACCCCGTTATAAGCACCCATGCACGCCCCTCCAAGGACAACAACGCCCGTGGTGTCGGCCTCAAGGTTGAAGCAGCTGTTGCCGCCCAGCATGTAGTTGCACGACGCCGCATTGCCTGATGGGAGCAAGTGGGGGGGGGGGGGGAGCAGATGGGGAGTGAAGTGAGCGAGTGGGGTGGGTTGTGAGGCATGCAATGTCAGGGGGTCGCTCTGCAGCTGTTGTCACCGAGCATGTATTTGCATGACGCCGCATTGCCTGATGGGAGCAAGTGGGGGGGGGGAGAAAGTAGGGAATGAGGTGAGCACGAGGGATGGGGCATGCGGCGTAGTCGGAGAGACACAGGGATGGGGGACGAGAGGGGTATATAGGGCAAAGAGAAGAAGCACACACCGGGGTTGATCCAGTGTGCGGTGAAGCTGATGCTGGAATTATTACTGTTGGCTGTGACGGTGACGTTGGGGTGGGGATGCAGGGACCTGGCACAACAGTGGAGTACGAGTGGGGTATGCACATAGGAAGCAGCACGCACCAGGACTGATCCAGTGCGTAGTGAAGCGGATATTAGAGATGTCTGTCTTGGCGGTGATGGTGGTGTTGGGGAAGAACCAGTTGCGCCCGATGAAAGTCATCATGCAGCTCCCCGCGTTGTTCACGTGCGTCCCGCACTGCACGCCGCTCCCCGTGAACTGGTGCAGAAAGTTGTTCACGACCTGCAGAGGGGTCGCGAGGGGTGGCGAGGAGTGGAGAGGAGTGGAGAGGAGTGGAGAGGAGTGGAGAGGGAATGGTGAGGCTCTAGTGAAGGAAGCATTAATAGGAGCACGAAAGTGGGGCAAAAGGGAGACGATACTTGAGCAGGGTGCGGTGACCAGGAGAGGAAAGATAAGTCACATGATATTTCGGTTCAACCGCAAGGTGGTCAGGTTTGACCGCTAGCCGTCAGTTACCTGCACGCCGATGGCGCCGTTGGTCAAGTAGACGGGTGTGTTGACGACTGCGGCAGACAGGGGGAGATGGGGGTACGAGGTAACGGGAGAGAGGAGGGGAGCGAGAGGGAGTGGAGGGGAGGGGAGGGGAGGGGGAGGGAGGGGAAGGATGAGGGAAGGCACAAAAGGAGAGGAAACGGGCAAGATGAAAGAAAGATTAGGAGGGAGAACGGGAGTGGGCCGAGAGAAGCACGCGCGAGAGTATAGAGCTGCCACGCGTTAGCTTCTTAGTGAACGGAGCGAGGAACGGGAGAAGGAGGCATTTGGAAAGGAAGAGGCGATATTGCAGAGGAAGGAGGCAACGAGTGCGACAGGGCAACGAGTGCGACAGGGCAACGAGTGCGACAGGGCAACGAGTGCGACAGGGCAACGAGTGCGACAGGGCAACGAGTGCGACAGGGCAACGAGTGCGACAGGGCAACGAGTGCGACAGGGCAACGAGTGCGACAGGGCAACGAGTGCGACAGGGCAACGAGTGTGACAGGGCAACGAGTGTGACAGGGCAACGAGTGTGACAGGGCATATGGCAGACAACTCACCGTGAATGCCGGCAGGCGACTCACCGTAAATGTCGCTATTCGAGAGCACGATGCCCGACTTGATCGCCCTGGTGCCGAGCCCGCTGAAGGCGACGCGGACAGCCCCGGGGCTCTTGGCGAACGGAAACTCGCCCGTGATGGCCATGCCGTCGACGAGCGAATCCATCGTGCGATACAGGTCCAATCGCCCCCACAGGTAACCCTGTGCGATTTGGATGCCGAACGATTTGTACACGTGAATTGTAGGGCAAATCACCCCTGTCCCGAGCTCCGGTATCCCCTTGCAAGCAGGGGAAGTTGGAGTAACGCCCATCCAGAAGTTGATTCCCCATACGATCACGTTGAAAGTCTCGACAATTCGGAGAATGGGCTGATCTGCTCCGGCTAACGAGATCGTACGGTTGCCCGTGACATCCGCTTGCAGGATCGTGCACGAGTAGTAGGGGCCAAACGCGAGGCCTTTCTTTAGCAATATATCCGCTTTAAGCGTCATCAGAACCGTCGTCTTTCGCGGATACTTGAGGCGCTTCACGAAGTCGGCCTCGGTGGTAACCACGATTCGCGGACTCGCGGCGGTAATCGGGGAGCACACGCCCATGCGTCGCGCCAGGGTGGTTCTCGCCCCCCCGCTAACAGCAGCGGTAGAAGCAGCACCTGCACCGTTTGCCCCAAGCCACCCGTCGCCTCCGGATGACGTGGCCGCCGCCTGTGCCACGTCAGCTTCCCCCTCCAAGGGGTCTGTGGGAATGAGCGGTTTCCGATCCCCCAGCATCCAGGGAATGGTGTACTCGCTCGGCGGCATCCAATGAGGACGTGACACGTGACCACCGCTCATAAGCCTGCGGCGAGCGCTCTCTTGGCGGCGCAGGAAGGGCAGGTTTTGCCAGTCTGGCGGCGGCACGGGGAAAGGATCAGCGGTGAAAGTCCGCGGAGACCAGGTATCCTTCCGCGCGGCATCGGCGCAGGGCAAGAGGAGCAGCGCCACTGCGGCCGCCAGCAGGAGCGCTCCGATTGCGAGACGCCGGAAACCGGCTCGTTTTCGCGGAGAAACCATTTCTAATTACGGTGACGGGACGACTGCTAAAAAGCTGGTCTGAACTTCGCCTGATACTATGGAGAGGACGCGCAACAAGAAACGCAGATGCGTGGTGAGTTGACTTGGCGACCTAGTGAACCTTCTATGCCTAGTGTATATCCTTGGGAAAAAGACGTCCAACTTGGTCGACGAAAATGAGAGTCTGAACAAACAGGCGCGTGGAAAACGGAAAAGAGCAACCGTCAAAAGGCAGCGGGACATTGCATTTCAGCAAGCAACCCTACTCTCTCGCTCCCCTCCCCAGCTCCGTCCATAACCACCACGTCTTGGTGGTTCGGTCGGGAGTATTTGGGCCCAGCAGCTGTGCAGGTGCACAGGAGATTGGGTTGGATTGGATGGTTTAAGTTGGGTTGGGTTGGGTTGGATTGGGAGAATGAAGGACAGCGCCCCTCCACCTGTGCTGTAATTGCGCCTCTTCTGCACGAAAAGCTCCACTTGCTTTGGATTTGCTGGCCGCTGTGTTGACCTGCTCGTCGGCTCGGTTCGACCGAAACCGTGCCAAACTGGCTCTGAGTAGCTGACACCGAACCTAAGGTGCGCTTTGTTGGGCGCTACCGTGTCTGCTATTGGTGCGATCCTCATCATCCTGGCTCGGCAAGAGTCTGGTTCGTTGGCCCAGACCAGCCAGCACAAGCACTAGCGGTGCGGCTTTCTGCCTTACCCCTCTCACGACAAAAATGCATGATTGGTCGGAAGTGGGGCTCAGCGAAGCGCGCCCTACTTGGAAAGTCGGTTGTGCGGTGGTTCGGGAGGAACTCCGAAGGGCCACGTTTCGGTTGATCTGTGATGGCTGGAATCTCCAATGAGCTGCCCGACTGTGTATATAGACGTCAGATCAGTTTGCATTTCTCGTCTCGACGGCTGTGGATTGGCGTTTCTGCCCAAAAGTGCCACATGACACGACCTGCTGGTCAACTGCCACCGAAATGTTCCCCAGCCCGCAAAATATTCTTCATACCCTGACGGTTACGTATATCAGGCGGTTACACGTACTTCAGCCATTTTCAACTTTCTGGCGAAGTAGCTCCTAGCGAGTACATGGACGCAACCATGGCTGCAAACTGCGCCCCAACGAAACCAGATTCCAACCAGGCAAGTCTATCATTGGTTGCGTATCCGCTACTGTTTTAGCTAGGGCGATGGCCGCGATTCGCGCCGTGTTCCCCGCCACGGCCAGAATTCAAGCCTTTTCTCGAGATTCAAAATCGCCAACAGCATTTTCCCGCGCATTGTCCCCGTTGTCACCAGATAAGTCACTCCGCAGATGGCGGAAGGGATCGGCGCGCAATGCAGAACTTCTAGGCAAAAGTAGCTTCGCTTGCAGTCGACGTAAACGAAGCATTTCCGCAAAGGGCGTAATGCTCGAATGGGCGGAATTTCCCGCCGCGCCTCTAGCAGCTGTGGCTGCCGCCGCAATCGGCGGGGCGGCGACCATCGCGATGGCGGGTGGATTCGGCGGGAATCGAGAGGCGGCGAGGGCGGCAGTCCGACGTGGCATGGAGCTATTCGTGGAGGTAACGACTGGAAGCGCGAGAGTGGGTATTATCGGAGTGAGGACCGGAGAGTGGCGGGGGTGAGCAGAGCTCCGAGTGTCGTTTCCTTCTGTGTCGTCACACGCCCACCCGCCAATGTGCCATGTCTCGCACCCCATGCCCTACATGCTTCCCACGCCACGCACCACACCCCGCCATGCCATGGCCACCAGAACGACGTGCAGGGCTCGGTTGTGGAGTTTGACCGAGCGCTACAGCTGGACCCCTCCCAGGAGCCTTGTGAGTGATGGATGTTGCAGCAAGGGAACAGCTGAACGTACCAATTCTTGCTTCTCCTCACTCTTGTACCCCGGTAGCCCATTCTTCCCGTTCCTCCCCTCTCCTCCCTCTCCTCCGCGCCTCTCTTCTCCTCTGCCTCATGCTTTCACCCCTGCCTCATGCTTTCACCCCTGCCTCATGCTTTCACCCCTGCCTCATGCTTTCACCCCTGCCTCATGCTTTCACCCCTGCCTCATGCTTTCACCCCTGCCTCATGCTTTCACCCCTGCCTCATGCTTTCCCCCTGCCTCATGCTTTCACCCCCTGCCTCATGCTTTCACCCCTACATTCTTGCTCCTACTTCTTACCTCCCCTCTCCCTCTCCTCCCCACCCCATTAGACCTATGGCAGCGGGGCCTTTCACTCTATTACCTCGGAAGGTTCCAGGAAGCAGCGGAGCAGTTTCGCAAGGACGTGGCAGTGAACCCCAACGACACAGAGGAGGTGCGGTGAGGCGCGGTGCATTGTGGTGCGGTGAGGTGTGGTGAGGTTGGGTTGGGTGAGATTTGGTGAGGTGCGGTGCGGTGCGAAGGTGAGAAAAGGTTCAGGTTGATGCTTGGGAGAAGCCTTTCAAAGAGTCAACCATGTCACAGGATGCCCACTATGCGATGCGAGGCACACATGCCATCATCTCCACTCACTGCACCCAACGCCCTCCCTCTTTCCTGTCCCAGCTGGTCATGGAGGCCTCTCCAGAGCACCTTCTTTTTTTAACCGAATCTGTCTCTCCTTGTTTAATTCCCTTAGCTTCCTTCCCCAACCTCCTCTCCGAGCCTCATCCCCGTGCTGGTCCCCGTACCTCCTCCCCGTGCCTCCTCCCCGTGCCTCCCCTTTGTCTGCATGTTCAGATCCTTGCAGCAGCAGCTGCTGACTTCGGGCGGCCATCTGCACTGTTCTATGCGAACCTCTACGTTGGGTTGTTCCATGAGAGCGAGGTGAGGGCCTCTTGCGTTCCCAAGCTACCGGGGAGAGGGGTGTGAGAAAAGGGGGTGTGGAATCATTGGGGGTGTAATTACTCAAGCGGCACTCCTGCTTTTCCGTGCGTGCACACACCTGATGGATCGCTCTCATTTGTATGGCATTGCATTGACGCCCCTTTTGCTGTGACATGCTGTGTGTGGTCTGCAGGGCGACCAGGATCAAAGCAGGCGTTATATTCTCGAGGCTGCACAATCCCCCTATGGACTCAGGTAGGTGGCCGCTTCTTTTTCCTTCATTCTTTGCTGTCTTTCTTTCTTTCTTGCAAAAGGTTAATGCCAAGTGCTCCACATGAGCTGTGGTATAGGTGTCTTGACAGTTGAAGGGGTTCATAAGAGCTACCGTCATCGCCCGGATAGTAGACATATATGTCTTATCTCGTACACGGGCAAAAATGCTTGGGTTGTCTTGTATTTGGGATGGTTTAGGGTGTCTTATAAATCTTATAAACGGACAATGAACCGTTTAGAAGATACCCCCTCGCTATACGATTGCCCCTAACCTCTACACTGGCTTAGTGCGTACACACAAATAGGTGTCTTATAATGAGGCTAGCCTGTTTATAAGAGACACCCGGATAATAGACAACCCCTGTCTACTATTCAACACTGTCTACTGTCCGGGCGATGACGGTACTGTCAACGCCAACACCACCGGCAGGCCTCGCACATTCCCCGTCGCCCCCTCATGCTTCCACTCACCCTTCCCTTCACTCCTCTTGGACCCACCCAAGTCACCATCATGTGTTGCCTTGATCTGCCTGAAACTTTTCCCTCGTCACCTTTCGCAATGCCTCCTGCTCCTCCTTTCCTCATCGCCTCTTGTTCCTCTTCTCGTCTCCACTTCAACCATTTGCCTCTTCACCTCTTCGCCTCGTCACTGCGCATCCTGTCGTGGCAGGTCGGGGGATTACATGGCAGCACTGGCCAGGGTGCACTGTCTGCAACGAGGCTGGCTGTGAGGCTCTTCCCGTGCCTCCCTGCAGCAAGTGTTCGCTTGCCGTGATGTGACCCTGTCCCATTGCCTGCCTGCCGCGCCGCTATGGTGCATGCAGCCCTGGGGGCAATGACTTGCTTCCATGCCTGTGCATGCATGCTCACTCTCCAGAAGACCCTTCCCGTTGCACTGGCAAGAGCGTAGTGAATAAGTTTTCTTCCATGAATGCAGCAGATAACGAGCTGCCACTGTCAGCGCAGTAGTTTTCACTTGCTGAATCTGTACAACCATGCGTGGCAGTGGTATCATCCATGTCTTACATCCATGTCTAATCAGTCATTCATTCTAAACAACCAACCAGCCCCAGGGCTCAGCAGCAGCATCCTCAGTCGTCCATGTCCTCATCCATGGCTGCCTCTGCTGCTTCCCTCGCCGCCTTCACTATGTCATCCGGCACCTGTCACAACACAATCCAGTGCCAACAATGCGACCCATGTGGTGTGATGTGACCCATGTGGTGTGATGTGACCCATGTGGTGTGATGTGACCCATGTGGTGTGATGTGACCCATGTGGTGTGATGTGACCCATGTGGTGTGATGTGACCCATGAGGTGTGATGTGACCCATGTGGTGTGATGTGACCCATGTGGTGTGATGTGACCCATGTGGTGTGATGTGACCCATGTGGTGTGATGTGACCCATGTGGTGTGATGTGACCCATGTGGTGTGATGTGACCCATGTGGTGGGACAAAGAGGGAAGCACAGGCGGTGAGAAAACGGGATGAACGGCTGCTGCGATCCAAAGATGCAGTTGAAATCGGAACAGATGCCATGGATAGCACGTGAATGGACAAGAGAAACCGCACTGTGTGAGATGAAACCCCAAGAAGCACGACAAGAGGACAGGAATGGGACTTGTGGAACGTGAGTGCAGCTATCACACTGAGCTGTGGCAAGCGACAGTGTAGCGGACAGGAATATGGGCATGGTATGCACAACGCTTCATTAAGATAGGTTGATTGGCTGGCTGGGTGGGTGGGTGGTTGATTCGTTGGTTAGTTGGGTGGATGGATGATTGGTTGGGCGGATGGATGATTGGTTGGGCGGATGGATGATTGGTTGGGCGGATGGATGATTGGTTGGGCGGATGGATGATTGGTTGGGCGGATGGATGATTGGATGGGCGGATGGATGATTGGATGGGCGGATGGATGACTGGTTGGGCGGATGGATGATTGGATGGGCGGATGGATGATTGGTTGGGCGGATGGATGATTGGTTGGGCGGATGGATGACTGGTTGGGCGGATGGATGATTGGATGGGCGGATGGATGATTGGTTGGGCGGATGGATGATTGGTTGGGCGGATGGATGATTGGTTGGGCGGATGGATGATTGGTTGGGCGGATGGATGACTGGTTGGGCGGATGGATGATTGGATGGGCGGATGGATGATTGGTTGGGCGGATGGATGATTGGTTGGGCGGATGGATGATTGGTTGGGCGGATGGATGATTGGTTGGGCGGATGGATGGTTGGTTGGGCGGATGGATGATTGGTTGGGCGGATGGATGATTGGATGGGCGGATGGATGATTGGTTGGGCGGATGGATGATTGGTTGGGCGGATGGATGACTGGATGGGCGGATGGATGATTGGTTGGGCGGATGGATGATTGGTTGGGCGGATGGATGATTGGTTGGGCGGATGGATGATTGGTTGGGCGGATGGATGATTGGTTGGGCGGATGGATGATTGGTTGGGCGGATGGATGATTGGTTGGGTGGATGGATGATTGGATGGGCGGATGGATGATTGGTTGGGCGGATGGATGATTGGTTGGGCGGATGGATGATTGGATGGGCGGATGGATGATTGGTTGGGCGGATGGATGATTGGTTGGGCGGATGGATGATTGGTTGGGCGGATGGATGATTGGTTGGGCGGATGGATGATTGGTTGGGCGGATGGATGGTTGGTTGGGCGGATGGATGATTGGTTGGGCGGATGGATGATTGGTTGGGCGGATGGATGATTGGTTGGGCGGATGGATGACTGGTTGGGCGGATGGATGATTGGTTGGGCGGATGGATGATTGGTTGGGCGGATGGATGATTGGATGGGCGGATGGATGATTGGATGGGCGGATGGATGATTGGATGGGCGGATGGATCATTGGATGGGCGGATGGATGATTGGATGGGCGGATGGATGATTGGTTGGGCGGATGGATGATTGGTTGGGCGGATGGATGACTGGTTGGGCGGATGGATGACTGGTTGGGCGGATGGATGATTGGTTGGGCGGATGGATGATTGGTTGGGCGGATGGATGATTGGATGGGCGGATGGATGATTGGTTGGGCGGATGGATGATTGGTTGGGCGGATGGATGATTGGTTGGGCGGATGGATGATTGGATGGGCGGATGGATGATTGGTTGGGCGGATGGATGATTGGTTGGGCGGATGGATGATTGGATGGGCGGATGGATGACTGGTTGGGCGGATGGATGATTGGTTGGGCGGATGGATGATTGGTTGGGCGGATGGATGATTGGTTGGGCGGATGGATGATTGGTTGGGCGGATGGATGATTGGTTGGGCGGATGGATGATTGGTTGGGCGGATGGATGACTGGTTGGGCGGATGGATGACTGGTTGGGCGGATGGATGATTGGTTGGGCGGATGGATGATTGGTTGCGCGGATGGATGATTGGTTGGGCGGATGGATGATTGGTTGGGCGGATGGATGATTGGTTGGGCGGATGGATGATTGGTTGGGCGGATGGATGGTTGGTTGGGCGGATGGATGATTGGATGGGCGGATGGATGATTGGTTGGGCGGATGGATGATTGGTTGGGCGGATGGATGGTTGGTTGGGCGGATGGATGATTGGATGGGCGGATGGATGATTGGATGGGCGGATGGATGATTGGTTGGGCGGATGGATGATTGGTTGGGCGGATGGATGATTGGTTGGGCGGATGGATGATTGGATGGGCGGATGGATGATTGGATGGGCGGATGGATGATTGGATGGTCTGATGGATGATTGGTTGGGCGGATGGATGATTGGATGGGCGGATGGATGACTGGTTGGGCGGATGGATGATTGGATGGGCGGATGGATGATTGGTTGGGCGGATGGATGATTGGATGGGCGGATGGATGACTGGTTGGGCGGATGGATGATTGGATGGGCGGATGGATGATTGGTTGGGCGGATGGATGATTGGATGGGCGGATGGATGATTGGATGGGCGGATGGATGATTGGTTGGGCGGATGGATGATTGGATGGGCGGATGGATGATTGGATGGGCGGAAGGATGATAGGATGGGCGGATGGATGATTGGATGGGCGGATGGATGATTGGATGGGCGGATGGATGATTGGTTGGGTGGATGGATGATTGGATGGGCGGATGGGTCGTACTCTCTGGAATTGCCGGTTGGACTCCTCGCAGCACCACCCCATCTCCAGCTCAAACGCCTTGTCCTTGGCCTCGTCATGCACTCCAACGATGCTGCTTACATGGGGGATGGAAGGAAACGGTTTGAACAGATGTGAGCAAGTGCGAGTGCGTGTGTCTGTGAGCGTGAGTGAGTGTAAGTGTTGTGTCTGTATGGGGGGCATGTGTGCGTGTGGGGGGGAGGGGGGGGGAGGATGTGTGTGTGTGTGTTGTGTGTGTGTGTGTGTGTGTGTGTGTGTGTGTGTGTGTGTATGTGTGTATGTGTGTGTGTGTGTGTGTGTGCGTAGTGTGCAGCACTCACATCTTGGCAACGGCGTTCACCCCCTCACGACAGGTCATCTCTGACAGCTTCAGCTTCTCTATCTCCCTGCCATGGGGTCATACCAGGGCGGCACACATACGCGGGAATGGAACAATGGAGAAGGGCGATGAAACAAAGGAGGAAGGAGGGAACAAGAGAAACATGAGTGGGCGACAAAGAAGCTACAGCATTTTCTGTGGAAAACTTGTGGAGGGAGAAGAGGAAGAGAAAGCGGGGACGGCAACGGCGATGTTTTGAGACGTCTCAAAACATCTCTTTAATCACGTGGCGATGAGCAGAGAATGAAGGCATGAGGGGAGCAACATGCCTCAACATGAAGGCATGAGGGGAGCAACATGCCTCAACATGAAGGCATGACGGGAGCAACATGCCTCAACATGAAGGCATGAGGGGAGCAACATGCCTCAACATGAAGGCATGAGGGGAGCAACATGCCTCAACATGAAGGCATGACGGGAGCAACATGCCTCAACATGAAGGCATGAGGGGAGCAACATGCCTCAACATGAAGGCATGAGGGGAGCAACATGCCTCAACATGAAGGCATGAGGGGAGCAACATGCCTCAACATGAAGGCATGAGGGGAGCAACATGCCTCAACATGAAGGCATGAGGGGAGCAACATGCCTCAACATGAAGGCATGAGGGGAGCAACATGCCTCAACATGAAGGCATGAGGGGAGCAACATGCCTCAACATGAAGGCATGAGGGGAGCAACATGCCTCAACATGAAGGCATGAGGGGAGCAACATGCCTCAACATGAAAGCATGAGGGGAGCAACATGCCTCAACATGAAGGCATGAGGGGAGCAACATGCCTCAACATGAAGGCATGAGGGGAGCAACATGCCTCAACATGAAGGCATGAGGGGAGCAACATGCCTCAACATGAAGGCATGAGGGGAGCAACATGCCTCAACATGAAGGCATGAGGGGAGCAACATGCCTCAACATGAAGGCATGAGGGGAGCAACATGCCTCAACATGAAGGCATGAGGGGAGCAACATGCCTCAACATGAAGGCATGAGGGGAGCAACATGCCTCAACATGAAGGCATGAGGGGAGCAACATGCCTCAACATGAAGGCATGAGGGGAGCGGGGGAAGAGGAGTGTAATGAGAAGAGAGGGGTAGGAGGAGCAACATGAAGGCCAGGGAGAGGGGGAGCGGCTCACGTCTTTGCTGCTTGCCTTCCCTTGCCCACTGCTGTGCCGTGATACCTCTGCAATGATCACCCGCGTGTGTGGAGCGCGGGAGCGGGTGGGAAAGGGGGGGGGGGGGGGGGGGAGTGTTGTGTTGAGGGGAGAGAGCAAGACAGTTTACACCATTGTGGCTAGTTGCATGGTGACCCAGTGGAACGGGCACACACGAAAGAGGGTGAGAGGGCGAGAAACAGGAAGCAACCATGGATGAGCTAAACACCTTCTTTTCCGACGCCTACATAAGTGACGCCTGACGGCTCGATGCAGTAGAGCTGGGGGCCGTCACGGTCATATCCAGCGAGCAGCACGGAACAGAGGAGCCGAGGGGGCACGTCTTGAGAAGTCACAACGTTCGAGTCCGAGTACTTGAGAAACAGCTCTGGCACTCACATAAGTGACGCCTGACGGCTCGATGCAGTAGAGCTGGGGGCCGTCGCGGTCATATCCACCGAGCAGCACGGAGGAGCCGAGGGGGCGCGTCCACCAGTAGAGTGTGAAGTAGTGCGCATAGCTCGCCATGCGATCCGCCAGCACCTTGAGCGGAATCATGTGCGCGAAGAAACTGGGGGAAGAGGGTGGTAGAGATGAGGACGGTGAGGAGCTTTGGCGGAGTGATGGAAATCAAGAGTTGAGGAGCAGCCATCAAGAGTTGAGGAGCAGCCATCAAGAGTTGAGGAGCAGCCATCAAGAGTTGAGGAGCAGCCATCAAGCGTTGAGGAGCAGCCATCAAGAGTTGAGGAGCAGCCATCAAGAGTTGAGGAGCAGCCATCAAGCGTTGAGGAGCAGCCATCAAGAGTTGAGGAGCAGCCATCAAGCGTTGAGGAGCAGCCATCAAGAGTTGAGGAGCAGTTTGACAAGGGCTGCCCGATGGGAATGGCACGGAGGAGCTGAGGGGCCGCGTCCACCAGTAGAGCGTGAAGTGGTGTGCGTAGCTCGCCATGCGGCCTGCCAGGACCTTGAGAGGACTCATGCCACACCCATGCCGCATGCGCCCCTTGCACACATTTATACCTCTTGTAGTTAACCGCCTCATTGCGAGCGCGGTTGACGACCTGCCTTCCATCCGCCACGAGCCCAGCGACAGCAATGCCAGCGTGCTTGTCCACTATGTGAATGCGCCGGTTGCTGCCCTGCACCTGCATCTTGGACACCAGCAGCTTCTCCACGCCCTGGTTGAGAAGGATTGGGTATTGGGCAAGGCGGCAGTGCAGGTGGTGGAAGAGGAGGTATGAAGCGAGTCGGTTGCTGCCCTGCACCTGCATCTTCGACACCAGTAGCTTCTCCACGCCCTGGGTGTGTGGGAGGCGGGAGGAAGGAGAGGGAGGAAGGAGAGGGAGGAAGGAGAGGGAGGAAGGAGAGGGAGGAAGGAGAGGGAGGAAGGAGAGGGAGGAAGGAGAGGGAGGAAGGAGAGGGAGGAAGGAGAGGGAGGAAGGAGAGGGAGGAAGGAGAGGGAGGAAGGAGAGAGAGGATGCGGGAGTGACTGAACCACCAGTGTTTATTGCCCATGATGCTGCAGATTGTTTTTGAGAATTCTGCAGGTTGCTTTTGAGATTTCTCAAAAACAGCCTGCAGCATCAGTGACTGAACCACCAGTGTCTATTGCCCCGCGAAAGCAATGCCCGCGTGCTTGTCCACTATGTGCATGCACCTGTTGCTGGCCTGCACCTGCATCTTCGACACCAGCAGCTTCTGCCAATCCACCATAAGGCTCACTCCGTTATAAGACTCAACCCGTTAATAGAATCAGCCCGTTATAAGACTCACCATCACAACGCCGTCCTTGCACCTCAGACCCACCGCCGTGCTGCCAGACGCGAACGAGAAGAGAGGCGGAGGGGAGGGGCGAGGGACGAGGAAAACCAGGGGGGGATGAGGAACGTGATGAAGGGAGGAGGGTCGAAGCGAAATAAGAAGGGAGGAAAGCATAAGGGAAAGGAATAGGGGGGCAGTGCAGGAGGGGGGGAAGGGAGGGAAGTGAATACAAAAGAAAGCACGAAAAGAAGATAACGGGCCAATGGGGAAACACGGCAAGCGAGGATGATCCGTTGATTCGAGTGGCGTACCCGCTATTGTCGACCGCCTTTCCAGCATACTCGATCTGAAAGATTCGGCCATCAGGCGAATAGGTTGTGACGGACAAATCGTACTGTATGGGATTCAAACAAGACGACAAAGCAGGAGACACGGAAGAGGAGGCAATGGGAATCGGCAATCCCAAGGGAGAAGCTCGCCGTCTTCACGATTTTAGTTAGTTCTGCTGCCGTCTAGCTAGAAGCTCTCTAACGAGACTGAATCTAGGCGCCGGTCGACAAACAAATCCAAACTATGACGTGAGAAGCAACGCTAACAGGTCGACATCCACGCAGAATCAGCGAGACCAAGTCTAGAATTCCAAGTAAAGGAGATCAGGCCGACTGTATGCCGGCAATCGCGAGCGAAAACGAGCTAATACAGTACAATAAACTTGCTGCTAGCCTCTCACCCCAGTTCCGATGCTGCTCATGGCGACACGGCTGCGATCACAAGGCGACTACGACGCCGTGTTGGGAGCAATTCCTAAAAGAATTCCGATCGACCTTAGAAACGAAGGAGCAGGATCAGGGGATTCGAGTATACAAGGCGAATGGCGAACGAAACGCGTTTGCGTGGAGAGAGGAGGTGACGCTGGAGGCAATGTCTAGAGGAGGAATCCGAGCTCGATATTGAAGCACTCGATTCCAGACCTGGCAGACTCGAGAATTTCGTTATATGGATTACACAAATAAATTAGGCGGTTTTAGTTTGGATGAAGGTTGCGTTGGACACTAGAATACCTCTTAGTTGACAGAGGCTGTAGCTCAACATAGTAAGTTCATCTACAGCACTTCAATCTAACTTGGCAATAATCGCATCGACATATTCTTGTGTGGTTGAATCCCCTCCCATGGCAGGCGGGCGCACGAGTCCCTCGGCAATCACGCCGTAGATAGCATTTTCCAACCGGTCGGCGAATGACGGGAACTGAAGATGCCGGAGCATCATGGCAGATGAGAGAAGGAGAGCCGTCGGGTTCGCCTTTTTCTGTGCGTTGATTACGTCGTTCCCCACATTGCCTGCTGATGCCCCTTGCTCAAAGATAGCATGCTCATAACCCACATTCCCTGGTGGAAGAACAGAAGCACAAGGTAACATGCAAAAGGAAACAAGATGAGCTTAGGTAACCATGTCATGAGGTGTTGGCAGCAACTGAAGGCCTAGCAGTCCTAGCACAAACGAGTGAAGCCACACTCTTGTTGTGGAGGAATCACAATGATACTCGGAATTGCACGAGACAATAATAACGAGAGCTGAACAGCAAGCAAGCATACCTCCGGGCATGACAGTGGTGCCACCAGCGATGCCTGCAGCTGTGTTTGAAATGAGTGTGCCGTACAGATTGGGGGTCACCTGGATGGGGTGGGGAGGGAGGGAGGGCATGGAGGGGGGAGAGAAACGAGGTGAAGACGATGACACCGGAGGATACTGAGGAGAGCGAACGGAGATAGGCAACACGAGCAAGGATATAAAGCTTTGCATCCCCATTCCCATGCACTCCAAGTCTATTCAGCCCAAGTCCGCCCGAAAGCAAAACTATGTAAATAACACCCCCTGCCCGCCCTCTTATCAGCCACAGCCTGTCACGCCCATCCATCCCCTTTTGACTTCTCACCCAGTCGTCCCCCAAATGCCGACCATTTGCTCCCGTTTCCATCCATCACCCCTCCATTTCCATCCATCACCCCTCCATTTCCATCCATCACCATTTCCATCCATCACCCCTCCATTTCCATCCATCACCCCTCCATTTCCATCCATCACCCCTCCATTTCCATCCATCACCCCTCCATTTCCATCCATCACCCCTCCATTTCCATCCATCACCCCTCCATCTCCCCCCCCACACCCCCACACTCTACTCCTTCACACATCGCCAGCAGTCGCCCTCATTCCCCTACCCTTTCCCCCCACCCACACACTACGGGCCACTCGGCCAAGATGAGTTGTTAGTTAGAAAAATTCTCCCCTGTGTGCTACACTTGTTGCCCCTTTGACTTCAACTCTCCCTTCCCCACACGTCCTTCCCTGCATGTCAACCTGTAGGAGCTCTGCCTAGGATCAACGAATCACCGTTGAATCTGTTGGCTTGCTTATTCAAAATCCATTCAGACTTGAAACTATTTCTATTGCCCATATCCACTCCCTCCCACTCTCCACCCTCTGTAGCCCTGCCCTCCATCTCTGTATTCCTGCCCACCCTTTCCGCGCCCTTCTCAACGCACCAGTTGCCATCCGCCCGTACCCACGGCATTGTACACACACCTTATTCCCCACCTGCAGCCTCTCAATCCCCCCCCCCCCCCCCCCCAGATCCGCCTGCTGCACCCACTGCATTGTACACAGCACCCCAGGCCCCTGCTTTCAGCACTCGCTGCATACCTGAAACACCTCATTCCCCCACCCTCTCTCCTCCCCTCCACACCAACCCACCATGACATCAAACTGCTAAGGCTTGGACACCAGCTGCATGCAGCAGTTACCACCCCCCCTGCAGCAACTGCATTGTACACAACACCTCATTTTGTTTCCTGAAACCACCCGCTTTATTCCAAACCCCAACGACCACCCCATCCCACCAACTCATCCTCCCACCCTTCCCCCTCCCCCTCTCCACTCCCTCCCCTTCTCACACGCACCATGACATCGAACTGTTCGGGCTTGGAGACGAGCTGCATGCAGCAGTTGTCGATGATGACTTCGTTGTGGTTGACCCGCGGGTACTGCTTCAACACCTCGCGGCACGACTCCAGGAACTGGCGTCCCCATGGCACCCACTTGCGTTGCACACACCCCCTCATTCCCCTGCATCACCCCGTTTCAACCCCGCCCAGCATCCCCATCCCACCCCATTCGTCTCTCCCCCTTCCTCCCCCTCCCTGACGCACCATGACATCGAACTGCTCTGGCTTAGAGACGAGCTGCATGCAGCAGTTGTCGATGATGACTTCGTTGTAGTTGATCTGCGGGTACGCCTTGGACACCTCGCGGCACGACTCCAGGAACTGCCCGTCAGCGAGCTTCATGATGTTGGCCTTGTGCACCGCCGTCACCGTCTTGCGGTTGTTCAGATACGCGTACTCAAAGGCGTACTTGGCGATCCGCTCGGAGCAAAACTTGGTGATCACCTTGCGTTGCAGCAGGGGGGAGGGCGAGGAGGAGAGAGGGGATAACATGAGGTACTGTCTTGCGGTTGTTTAGGAAGGCATACTCAAACGCGTACTTGGCTATGCGCTCCGAGCAGAACTTGGTGATCACCTGGGCGGAGCCCCGGAGGAGTTGCGCGTGGGAGGGAGCGGGAGAGGGGGAAGGGGAGCGGGAGTATGGGGAATGAGCGAGGGGGAGAGAGCAGGAGAGAGGGGAAGGTGGAGGGGAGTGGCGGCATGAGAGGGAGGAGGGACTGCGCGTCGGCGAGGTTATGATGTTGGCTTGGCCTTGTGCACCGGCTACTCAGACTTGCCACGTGGCTTACCTGAAAAAATGCGACATACTTTGAGGCGCTTCAACGCCACGTGGCATACCTTGAGGCTCTCGACAACCCCGGGGGTGACCTCGTGCTCGAGACCGCTGTACTCGCCCTCCGTGTTCTCGCGAATCACCACGATGTTCACGTTGTCGTGCCGCGTCTTCAGCCCTGGGATGTTACTGCAGTAGGCGAGATGCGCGAAGAGATCGAACTCCTTTCGCAGCTGCACCGTCAAGGAACTGACTCCGCCTGCGACGGCCGTTCGCACGCCTCCCTTGATCCCCACCTGTACCGGAAATGATGGTAGGCCAGGCCCGAGAAAGGACAGAAAAACATAAAGCGCTTACCGAACGCCATATCATGAAGCGAGATGGGGGTGGGTCATGGATCGGGAACCCAGGTCACCAGAATTGAAGCTTTTACTAGCAATGCCAGGACATGTGAAAAAAATATTTACTTTCATCCTTTTTTGAAATATTTTCAGGAAAGCCTGACCTTGTTGCGCCGGAGCGAGTCGAGGACCTCGGTGGGCACGGTGGGCATGGTACCCTTGAGGTCGTACGTCTCGAACACCACGGGCGCGTGGATGGCTTTAAACACCTGCTCCACCGCGTTCGTGCACAGCGGCCCGGCGCCGTCTCCCGGGAGCAGCGTAACAGTGCGCGTCGCGCCCTCGCCGGGCTTCGGCATGTACGTGACATTTCGAGTCGGCTGCAGGTTGAACGCGTTAAGCGCGGCCCGCGCGGCGTGTGATCTGGACCGCGACGCGATGCGCGAGACGACGGATGCCATTGCGGGAGGCGAGGAGTGAATGGATCGGGGGAGATGCGAAATCGGCGAGATCGGCGAAATGGAAAGTGCGCGTGCGACGGCGCGTTGATCGAATGGTAGAAAATCGGACGGTGGAAGGGATGTGCGGTGGGACGGGAGACTCGATCAGGCGAAGGATGTCAGGCTGAGGAGCGGAGCGGGTCCTTGGACTGGTGCAGCAACGAGCGCCGCGACCTGGTAAAGAGCTGCTCGTGTCAAGTCTGAGCCCCTGGAAGTATCAAATGAAGAACGGAGCAGCAGAGCAGACAAGCCAATTGAAACAAACTAACAAACTACAAACTACTCCGAGGGAGGGCTCGTTTACACTAGAAATTACAGTCCTTGGGACGAGTCTTGGTAGCTTTGGCGGAACGAGCTTGTCCCTTTGAAAGGGATTGGTCCGCTTTCTAGCAGCCTGTATCACGTGGCGAATTCCTCGAGTCCCATTTGCTAAAAATAAAGTGACATGGCACTATCCCTCCATGTCTATGCTGAAACGAAGGCGGTGTTCGCCAGCACCAATTAAGCACCAATTAAGCAAAAACCATGGGATAATGTGAAATATAAGGGCATCATTTGTGAAAAATGCTATGTGGAAGTAACACTCTCACGCGTTCGGCGTGAGCGCATGGGCCATATCGAACTCGCTGCTCCTGTTGCGCATATCTGGTTTTTAAAGTCACTACCGCTTAATTTAAAGAATCGGAACCAAGACACAGCCGGAATTGCTTGCCAATTATCAATTATAGTGGCGCTTCCCATGGGTTATAAGAGCGCGAATCTTGATGTGTTTACCTGGACCTTCTTAGAATTTGGCGGGCAAGCTAGGAGGCTTAAACACCGCCTTCCTGATCCCGTCAGTTAGGGTTCGTTTACCTCCGTCAGCCTGGTCAGCCCGTAAAAAAGGTGCCGAACCTCCCAAACCGTCCAAACCAACAATCAAAGTGGGTGTCTGGCGAACGCCCCCATTTGTCGACCAAAATTAGGTGCTCGACGACATATGGAAGCGGGACGCAACTTCGTCCCCAGGCAAAGTTCCATCCCCAAGCCATGCCATCGTCATGCCGCGTTTTTAGAAGCACAGCGATGGCACAGCCGTCGCATTGCCGTTCAGAGGGGAACCTCTGAACAAGCCTGTTGTTTGACAAAGGGGGGTTCGAATACCCCCCATTTTTCCCCTCCCGAACATACCTCCATTGGCGGAGGCCATTCCGTAAACCCTATGGGGAGTCCGTGAGTCTGGTTTGTGAGTGGATTGAGTACGAGTGGTGAAGGGGTTGTTTTTTAATTTTTTTTTTAATTGCGCTTGTTACCCTGGTTAGTTTTTTGCCCTCGGTCTGGCACTGGTCAGTGGCGCGTAAAATTCGCGCCACTAGTTGAGGAAGGTGGGGCTGGGGTTTCCATATGCGGTCATGAAATTTCCTGTTTTGGGGATTGAAGTTTCGTGGACCGCATTACCCCAGACCTCTTGACCGGGTTTCGACCCCGGTTCCGGATGCGGTCACCATGCCGATGCCGCCAAAATTGTCAAATGTTGTAGCCTATAGTGAGGTTTGTCTTAGGGGGTACAAAACTTAGGGTTAGCTATATGTACCCCAACCAACATCAATGCATCATCCATTCCTCATTTTGACATGGTATCAGTTAGGTTAGGATCCTGTGGGATCCCGTTTCTCCGTTCTCCGATCGTACCACCCGAGCCTGATCCTAGCTCTCGTTTCGCCCGTCTTGCCCGAGCCTAGTGCCGGCCCGATCTAGTCCCGTTCGTTCGTTACCGCTCGTTCTTCCTCCCGATCTAGCGTAGCCCGATCTAGCGTACCGCTGCCGGTCGCGCTGCGCTTTCCCCCCTGATGCCCGTCGAGGCGCGCTTCCCCCCCGCTGCCGTCGAACCGCGCTTCCCCCCCCCCCCCGCTGCCCGTCGACCCGCGCTTCCCCCCGCTGCCCGTCGACCCGCGCTTCCCCCCGCTGCCCGTCGACCCGCGCTTCCCCCCGCTGCCCGTCGACCCGCGCTTCCCCCCGCTGCCCGTCGACCCGCGCTTCCCCCCGCTGCCCGTCGACCCGCGCTTCCCCCCGCTGCCCGTCGACCCGCGCTTCCCCCCGCTGCCCGTCGACCCGCGCTTCCCCCCGCTGCCCGTCGACCCGCGCTTCCCCCCGCTGCCCGTCGACCCGCGCTTCCCCCCGCTGCCCGTCGACCCGCGCTTCCCCCCGCTGCCTGTCGACCCGCGTTTCCCCCTGCTGCCCGTCGATCCGTCGCCCTGGCCCGCGCCCCAGCCCGTCTCCCCAGCTCGCGCCCTAGCCCGTCGCCCTGGCTCGCGCCCTAGCCCGTCGCCCAGGCCCGGCGCCTTTGCCCTACCCGCGCGCCCGCCACACCTGACCTACCCGCCCGCTCTTGCCCGCTCTTCCTGCCCGTTCTCCCTTGCCGCTGCGCCCTGCTTTCCCTGCCAATTCCGTTTGCACACTATGGCGACCCCTCGCGTCCTTCGTTTCGATGCTGACGGTCGCCCGCTCGATTTCCCAGTCTGGCTTCTTCGCGCTCGCCGCCTGTTAGAGAGTCAGGTCCAGGCAGGCGAGACCCTCTGGGCGCACGCTACTGGTGCCCTACCTGCGCCCCCCGACCCTACGCCTTTAGGACCTGCCCCTGACGACGCCGCTAGAGCCCGCTTTGCCACTCAGCGAGCTGACCAGACGGCTTGGACGTCACGTGACGCTGCGGCCTGCATCGCGCTCAGCAGCCTCCTCCCTGAGTCTGAGGAGGTTCACTTCACTCAGGTTCGCACCGCTGCTGCGTACCTCACTGCGATTAAGGCCCGCTACTCTACTCCCGCTGCTGTCTCTCTTGGCCGCCTGTTCCTCCCGTTCCTGTTTCCTGACCTAGCGTCTTTTGAGCGCTCTGCTGACTTGATCGCTCACCTCCGCTCGCTCGACGCTAGTTACCGCGCTGCTTGCACTGAGGCACAGCTTGCACTGCTTCCTCCCCCTATGGCGATTACTATCTATTTCATCGCCACTAGCCTCCCTGACCGCCTTGCCTCCGTTCGCGACGCGCTTCTGCTGAAGCACCCTAGTGAGCTCACCGTCGAGGTTCTTGAGTCTGCACTCAAGGACGTCGAGAGCAACCTTCGCTCGGTAGCCGCTGCCTCTGGTGCTGTGCCCCCCCACTCTTCCACGGGTGCACAGTCCCGCAGTTACCCACCTTTACTGCCTCACTTGCCACTGCCGCTACTGACGCGACTGCAGCTGCTGTTACGACTGCGTCGCGGTCCCGCGGTAGGAGTGGCAAGAAAGGCGGTTCTGGTGGTGGTAGTGGAGGTGGAGGCGGAGGTAGTGGAGGTGGCGTTGCGCCTGGCGGCGGTGGAGGTTCAGGGCCTGGAGAGGCGCCTCGTGCAGTGACTGGTGACTCCACTGCGCCTGCTGGTGGTGGCGACGCCCGAGTTCGTCAGTCGCCTCCTGTACTTCCTGCCCCGGTTGGTGGAGCAGCGGCGTGGTACCAGGCTCAGCGTCAGCAGCAGCTTCTGCAGCACCAGCAGCCCCTCTCCTCCCAGCAGCCTCAGCAGCAGCAGCGGCAGCAGCTGGCTCCAGGGTCGGGGCTGCGTCAGACCCAGCGCGGTGCTGCTTACACTCCCTGCACCTACCAGGTTCTGACAGGCCCTCGTCGTGGCCACCCTTGTGGCCGGTTTCACCCCCCTGGTCAGTGCTTTGCTCAGCTCACTGACACGGTTCGTTTGGTCTACGGGGTTGGTGCTCCTGCCCCTGACTGGCTGCCTCTTGTTCAGCGCTACGGCTCCGCTCTGTGGGGCATGTCTGCTGAGCAGTTAGTTGATCTCATTGGTACTCCCCATGCTATGTATGCTGTTGTTGACTCTAGTGTTTCTGACTCTGCTTACTCTGGTGTTGTTAGCTTAGGTGCTAGCCTTGCTCAGTTGCCTGTTGCTAGTGTAGGTTCTTGTGTAGACTCTAGTCCAGCGGCTACCTCAGAGGACGGTTCGCTGTCGTTCACGCTGGACTCTGGAGCTTCTCACTGCTTCTTTCGTGACAGCACGACACTTACGCCTCTTCCTGCGCCTGTTTCTGTGGCGCTGGCTGATCCCACTTCGGGACCAGTCACCGCGCGTCACACTACCACCTTGCCGTGTCCGGCTGCTCCTTCTGGGTCTCTCACTGGGTTTCACGTCCCCTCGTTCTCCCGGAACTTGGTGGGCGTGCGACCCCTCGTGAGTCAGCACGTGGGTGTGTGGTTTGAGCCTTCTGGAGAGACTGCGGTGTGTGTTGACGGGGACTCTTACCAGCCCCTCGCCACTTTTGCTGCTGAGCCGGGCTCCGGTCTCTACACTCTTCACACTCGCCCGCGCGCTCAGCAGCGACTGCAGCAGCAGCAGCAGCCGCAGCAGCAGCAGCAGCAGCAGCAGCCGCAGCAGCAGCAGCGGCAGCAGCCGCAGCCGCAGCCACAGCCGCCCCTCCTGCCCCCGGCCCCTGTTTTGCCTCCCGTTCGAGTCCTCGCGTCTCACCAGGTTGCTCCGTCCCCCCAGGTAGCTGTGTCTTGTCAGGTTCCTCCGTCTAGTCCGGTCGCTGCGTCGTGCTCCTGTCGGTCGCTTGCCCACCCCACCGTTTTGTGGCACCACCGGCTGGGGCACCCTTCTCCTCCTCGTCTTCGCGCTATGTCTCGTCAGCGTCTTGTCTTAGGTCTCCCGCGTGTCTTGCCGTCGCTGCCGCCGTCCCTTGCACCACCGTGCGGTCCTTGCGTCGAGGGTAGGCTGCGCGCCACCCCTCACTCCTCCTCCCTTCGTCCGGCCACCGAGCCTTTTGAGACGCTGCACTTGGACGTCTGGGGCCCCTCTCCTCGCCCTGGCCCTGAGCGTGAGCGTTTCTTTTTGGTGGTCGTT